GTTAACATGTGAGCAGCATTTTAATGTTGCATCTGGTCCAAGTAAAGCAAATTTTACAGACTGTTAAACATAAAATAACTTGTTGATACAGTTTGTAATTCATTATTAATTAATTAAAGAAGTTGTAACACAGCTGTCATATAAATGTAGTGGAGTATAGAGTCCAACATTTATATCAGAAATGTAAAAAGGAAACACTCAAGCAAAGTGAAAATTATTCTTAAGTACTGCACTTGAGTAAATGTACGAATGTAACCACTCTGCTGAAGTGCCTGCTTGAGCCTAAGTGTGTCATGTTTGGCTGCAGCTAACTATTTTCATTATCGATTAATTGTTTCAAAATGTCAGAAAACTCAGAGCCAAAGCCCACAAATTCCGATTGCATGTAGTTGTTTTTTTAACTAACAGTCCAAAACTCAAATGTATTTTATTTAAAAGCCAGTAACTCCTTATATATGAGAAACTGGAACCAAAAAGATTTGGCGTTTTTCCATTAAAAGTTACTTTAACATTTAATAATTTTATATTTTGCTGTTAGAGCATCATTTCTGCTCAAGGTATGTATGAAGCTCTATTTAAAGCTGAGCCCCCATAAAGTTTGAATAACTGATAACTCTGTAATTATCAATCAATATTAGTTTATCATCGTAATAATATTATGTCCACTTGAGAGCACTGACAGGTTTATCTGTTACTGTTAATGTTGTGTCGGTTAAAATATTGTTATAAAATCCTTTAGCTCAATCAATACTGGTGTTTGCCTCAGAAATCCAGTGTCAGTCTCTATTTGTAACTGTGAATTAATTTCCAAGGTTTTGTCTCTATATACATTACACTTTGTGTACCCTGTGATATTGATGTGACACCTTTATTAGCAAGTATATCTGCTCTCTTGCAATATGAACTAAATTAATTTCAGAGATAGATGTGTGAAAACACCTCAGTTAATATTTAGTCTGTCAGCTGCTTTGACTCACAGCCTTCTGAGGACACTGCGTGGTTTAATTGAGCTTTCTTTAGTTTGATTTACTTTGTGCTTAGGTTTGGAAAAAGCATGCCAATCTATAGTGCCGCCACGTTCATTTGCATTTCAGCTGCAAGTCATAATGTCACCACCATGTTCCAGGGGCTCATTGCTCTAAGTGCCTTTTCCTCATTACTCTCTCTCTCTCTCCCTCTCTCTCTCTGCAGCAGCGTCCAGTGAAGCAGTCTCTGGGTGCTTGTGTCTGCCGGGAGTCCCACTGGCGCTGCCTGCTGCTCTCTCTGCTCATGTACAGCTGCCTGGGTGTGGTGGCCTGGTGCCAGCTGACCCGGGTCACCAAGATCAGCTTCAAGACATCTCTCACCTCCTCCTTCTCTGCCTCCTTCACCTCCTCCCTGCGGGGAGCCTCTGGGATGGGTGCTGGAGGACACTCAATGATCTACCACGACAGCCCCTGCTCCGACGGCTACATCTACATCCCTCTGGCCTTCCTGCTCATGCTCTACATCCTGTACATGGTGGAGTGCTGGCACTGCAGAGCCAGGAGTGAGCTCCAGTGCAAAGCAGACGTGGACAGTGTGTACGAGCGCGTGCTGCGGATGCGACAGGCCCAACCCTGCATATGGTGGAAGGCCATCAGCTACCATTTTGTCCGACGGACTCGGCAAGTCACTCGATATCGCAACGGGGATGCCTACACCACAACACAGGTGTACCATGAGAGGGTGAACACACATGTGGCTGAGGGGGAGTTTGACTATAGCCACTGCGGGATGAAAGACGTATCACGCGACCTCAGAGGCTTGGAGGGACATCCAGCAACTCGGCTACGCTTCACCAAATGTTTTAGCTTCACCGAGGCTGGCCCGGAAAACGAATACCTCAACCAGAGAGCCAGGTTCTTCTCTGAAATTGAGGGTTTGGACGATTACATGGAGGCCAGGGAGGGGATGCAGCTGAAGAACGTGGACTTCAGAGAAAACCTGATAGCCTATGTAGACCCAGATAGGATGCCCTGGTACAATTCCCAGGTTGCCTTCTGGCTGGCAGCTCTGCTGATGTTGTCCTGGCCTCTGAGAGTGCTGATAGAGTACCGCACTGCTTATGTGCACTACCGCGTAGAGAAACTGTTTGGGCTGGAGTACAGCCCCTCTCCTCAAGATGAAGACAGGCCTTTGGGGAGTAACACCGGTTGTGTTATTCCAAGAGTAGACACACTGGACAGCACCGAAATGGAGTGGCACATACGCTGTAACCGCCAGGTGATTCCCAGCTATTCCGAGGCCATGCTGATCAACATGAGCACAGCAGACTCTAACTCACTACAAGACACTGAATACACCTCGTCCTCAAACTGCTTCCTCCTGGACAGCAGCCAGACCGCTCAGAGCTACGGCGCTCTCCAGAGCCAGGAGGGCAGCGAGCAATGCAGCGAGCCCAACGGACAAGGTGATGGAGAAGGTAGGAGGAGGACCATCACCAGCTCCAGCTGCTCCTCCATCTTCTCCTGCCACGGGGCGCTGTTCCACTCCCACCCCTCTTCGGACACGTCCCGCTTCTCTCTCTGCCGCATGTACGGCTCCCACCGCACCGTGGCCCTGTGGAGGAGCCGCAGCAGCAACCTGACGGACCCCTGCTGTGTGGACGATCAGTGCTGCCGCTCCGACTCCAGCCAGCTAGCCCTCAGTGACAGTCCACCAACCTATAGAGACGCCCGGTTCTTCCCAGTCCTCATTGTGCACCGGTCTGAGGGCTGTGGCAGCGAGGACGGGAGGGAAGTGAGGCGTTATTATATACGGAGAGGGTCGTCCTGTGTGGAGACTGCTCTGTGAAGGACATAGACACCTTTCATTAAGTCAAGATGGATTAAAATCAGTAAAAAAAGAGGTGTTGTTGTAGGGTTGGTCACTATAACATTAATGTGCTCTTTCAGGAAATTCCAGTGTACATATAAAGAAACTTAAATACTGACTTTCTATTTTTTAACACAGTCACCAAACAGTCAAAGAGTCTTCATATTTAGTTACACATTACACGTCCATATTATCACAGTTAACGGTCCAGTGTGTAGGATTTAGTGGCATCTAGCGGTGAAGTTACAGATTGCACCACCATCGCTTCACCCTCTGCTTCCAAGCATGAAGGAGGAACTACGAAACACAAACAGCCCTATCTAGAGCCAGTGTAGAAACATGGCGGTTTAACATGGCAGACTCCATGGAAGGCGTCCCGCTGTGTCTGTAGATAAAAACGGCTCCTTTAAAGGTAACCAAAAACATTATTCTTATTTTCAGGTTATTATACCACTAATAAAAACATACCTAATGAATATATATTCCATTTCTGCCTGTAGACCCTCCTAAATGTTACACACTGGACCTTTAAATTGTCTGTATGAAAACAGCTACAGGTGTGAGACAAACAGTAATGTATCTAAATGTATTGGGATATTGTGTGTACAATGACAATAATAACTGTCAGATTAAATTATGGTGCATACTGATACATGAAAACTGCACAACCTCAGCATCCTATTGTTTTCATCAAAAGTTGTTGTTTTTTTTAATCACAGGAAACAAACCACTAATTCCTACGTTGACCTTGTATCTGTTGTTACGTGTGTTGGGAGAATTACTGAAATCGTGCTATTCTTACATTCGCCTCTATATGTGAGAATGATACAAGAAAAAAAGAAAAGCTGCATGTTATTACCAAAGGTATTGTCTTTTAGTTGATTCATAGACAGCAAGTTAAAACCAAAGACATTGAGAGTATTTTGTTTTGTTTTCTTTCCAGAGATATGTGTGATGAGTGGAGAACATGAGTTGAATGTCAAAATGTAAGCAATAAAAGTAGTTCTGAAAGATGATTGTATTACAGTGTTTCATATCAACCACAAGAGTGTATGACTCAGCTTACTTTTACCTGGTCAGATTGAAGGGAATATTTAGTGTTCTTATAGTGGAAATGCATAAAAATACTATGAAGAGTCCACTAAGAGAATTGGGACTGTGGATTGTTTGGTTTTATTCTCTCAAATTAGCAAATAAATGTACAGTAGTGTGTGTGTGTGTGTTAGTATAGAAGACGAGAAAGAAGAGAGATCAGAGTAAAGTTTCTCCTATGATCATGTTGATCTGAGGTGACGATGTCAGACACTCTCAGGCTCACGGCTCTAACTCTGCTGTCCTCAAGTACAACTACAACAGAAGAAACACTACACTGACTGTCAGCCATTGACTTCAACTGTTGTGGCTGCAAGACAGGAGATAAATCGTTCATTCAAACTAAAGTTTAAATTCAGCTTGTTACTTGAACTGGAGGGACAATTGTGGGCAAAAGACAGTAAACAGAGCCGAAGAAGAGAAGCGAGCTATATAAGGTCACATAGGTATAACCTTTTATTTTTAGGAATAACAACAATACAATGTGCTACAAAGTTCTCTTATTTTGTGATTATATAGGTAAGGCAGTTTATCATGATACTGTGGAGGCAGAATACATATAAACTTAATTAAACATTTGTTCACGAACCCAGAAATGGACATAATATGTATTAAATATCTGGCCCCAAACCTTCATTTTTAACTTGAACACAGGAGTTTTGGAGCTGTATGTTTACGCTGTGATGGGGAGAGATAAATAATGTCTTCAGTGGGGGAAGAAGTATTTAGATCCTTTACTTCAGTGAAAGCAAGACTACAAAAATATTCCTTAACAAGTAAAGGTGTTGCCCCCAAACATAAGTAAAGTATTATCAGTCCCAAATATTTGTAGAATGTTATAATATTATTACAGTATTTTCCTTTATTGGATTATTATTAATTAGTTATCAATTATTATAAGCCAATGTTAAATACTTCATAAACTACTGAGTGGTTCAGTCTATAATAATGAATCATGTGCCAGCAAAGTAACTAATAACTACAGATATTAAATAAATGTTGGTAAGTAAAAAGTACATTTCCCTAGTAGTTTTTGGGGAGGTCTTTCTTTCTGTTGACCACTAGATGCAACAATTTTTAAGGACTATATTAATTAATATATATTATTATATGTCTTCATGTGTACACTTAACTGCTCACTCAATAAGCTGTTAAAATGTTTACTAACCTAACTACATCTATAACCCATGTTATACCTTTTTCTCTCATAAAAATTTCTCCCCTTTTGCATGGACAGAATGTAATTCTGAATGTATTAATCTGTAGCATTTAATGATGTGAACAATTATTCGCTAATTACCCTATTACCACACACACACACACACACACACACACACACACACACACATAATAAATAAATAAAGGCCTGAATGGAAGTGCTGTCCTAGTTCTTTGCTCATGAAATTATTCCCAGACCACACAGACCAAGATTTGAATGGAAATTCACTTGCAGCCTATTTTAAACCCAACTCTCTATTTAACTCACTGTTGTGATCACTGATTTGCTCTAACATTTTCTTAAACCTTAAGCTTGTTAAATGTACAATTATGTACCTCTTTCTGTCAGCCGTGATTTTGTACCTTTAAAATTAAACAAAGGTCCACAGTTATCACTTTAAGGACCTTTCTTTTGCTCTGACAGAGGAAAAGAAAAGCTCCAGGTGATCTTGACTGAGATTGTATGTGAGGAGATATCGGCACTGGGAATCTGGCTTTTCCACCAGGTCATGGAAAATGTTGCGTACACTTCTGAAAATGGCACTAAAGCCACTGATGTATGTTGGTCATTCTTTTTATCCTTGAGATCCAGAAGGGTCAGAGATAGGACAGCAGATGATAGACAGGAAAGGGGAAAGAGAGAGGGGCCACAGGTTTGAAGCAGCAAAGGGCCACAGGTCCAAAGCAGCCTAAGTCCAGTGAGATTGAGTTCAGCCACAGTGAAGACAGTATTGTGTTGTTAATGCCAATACTTTAAGACTAAGCCCAGTTTGAATCACTGGAAGAATGAGTCAAAACTCTTGAGTAAGTCACTGACACTTGTTAAAGACGATGAAGCTCTTAGGTTGTGTTCATTGCTAGGTAGATTTAAATTCATTTGAGTTTCATGTATGTATTTTATTTGAGTTAAACTTTTGTATTTGGTTTTGTACAAGGCTGTGTGTTTTTCCTTCTGAATATGACTGAATAGGAAATGTGCCTTATGTGTTTGTTTCTACTTGTCATGTGCTGAATACAATTTTTCAAAAAAGTTTCTCCAACTTCTCAGTTAATCAAACCAAAACATATTAACATTCAACGTAAACATTTAATTTTTTATCAAATATAATAAAATATTTTTATAAAAATTTTTTATGTATTTATAATTCAGTATTTTTTAACGAAGGTATCTTTGTAATGTTGCTCCGTCTTTGCCCCCCTGCACCCCTGTAAGTGTTGTTATTGCTGTATTTTGTGTCATTTATGTAATTGTACGCAATGTTTTAACTAATAAAGTATGTAAAAAAAAAAAAAAAATCAACAACAAGCCCCTCACTGACGTCACTTCCCACGCGCGCGGGCTCTTGCTAACGGCAGCTAACGGAACCAACTGACAACTGACAACTGTCCCGGACGTTAACGGCTCGTCCACACACCGTCAGGCCGAACACCGCAGCCCACAGACGGCTTCGTGTAGCCGCTGGAGACGGTCTTCGGTGTCCTCGGCTGCCATTCCGCTGTAGCACTGTGGAGAAAGTCAGAAGTCCCGTCTGTTGTTGACATCCATGACGGGCTCGGGTGTGTGTTGTGTCAGTAGCTCCTCTCGCTAGCGTCACTTTGTTTTTGTTTTTTTTTTCGCGGAAGTTTTCCCTCCTCGGTTGCATGCGCATTCAAACCCTTAGCGCACTCCGACTGGGCATTAGGCCGGACTTCAGTGTTTTAGCACCCGGGTTGCGATGAAGCTGCAGTGTGATGTCGAGGTGGTGAACCGGATGCTTCCCACGTTTGGGATGAAAAGTCGGGGCAAAGGGACGAGAGCGATGGTCTCCATCGGGAAGCATTTGGACAAGACGAGTCAGCGCAGCAACGTTTACATGATGATCTGCACATCCAAAGACCGAGCGGGCTCCAAGTACAAGGTCACTGTCTGTCACTGTCTGTGCTTGTCTTTGTCCTCTGGACTGTACCAATTACTGTCCTAACTACTAACTACTGTACTAAGCTACTGTCCTAACTACTAAACTACCCTGTCCTAACTACATGTCCTAACTACATAACCTACCTGCCTAAACTACCTAAGCTACCGTGTATAATCTACTGTCCCTGACCTACTGTGATTAACTAACCTACTACTGTCGCCTAACTACCTAACTAGCTGTCCCTAACCTCACCCTGCCCTAACCTACTAAAGCTACTGTCCTAAACTACTGCTCCTAACTAACTAACGTAACTGTCCCCCTAACTAGCTAACTACTGTCTAATAAGACCTGCGTCCCTAAACACCTAACTTAGCTGTCCTACACTACACTGTCCTAACTACCTACTACTGTCCTACACTCACTGAACTACGCCCGCGGCTAAACCACGTCCTAAATACTACTGTCTAACACTATACTGCTAACTAACTGTAATTAACTCTAACGTACTGTACTGAAACTACTGTATTGAATAAGCTCAAACTACTGTCCTAACTAGCTGTATTAACGTAACTAAACCCTCACCTGTCCTAACTACTGTACTTAACTACTAAGCACTGTACTACTACTGTGTCACTAAGCGTACCTGTATTAACTACTAACTACTGTCCTAACTACTGGTTTGTCAATAAAACACAGATCTTCTTTTTAAATGGACAGTATCAAACATTGCATCAACAAAACTTTGCTGCTTTATTAATAAACTGAATCCTCGTTAACTTGAGTGACTCAAAAATCCACTTTTTCAATTATTCATCATTATCCTGTCAGAAAGACCTGGATTGGAAACCCTAGAAGTATTGTTTCACGGTCTCACACCTCACACCACTTCTTGTTTAAAAGGAAATCGCTGTAATCCTGTCAGTGACGAAGGACCAACAGGGTTCCTGTCCGCACTTGTTGAGGGAGTGAATCACTCTTCGGTCTAATGACGATGCAGATCCACCCGAAAGCGGTGTCATGTGTTTTTTTGTGTCATGTGTTTTTTCATCACTTAAATTGCCCAACTTTCTCTCTTGCAGCTCAAAGACAACATCGAGAAATTCTTCACCTGGTTTGTAGAAGAAGGCAAGGCCACCGTGAGATTAAAGGAACCTGCCGTCGACGTCTGTCTGAGCAAGGTATGACATCCAGCAGCGTGTAAATACAGTAGAGTATTGACAAAGCAAGGACCAGTTGTTGTTTACCCCACAACAAGATTTCCCCATTCATTGTGACGCAATTTCATTCATCACATTTTCTTGGAAGATATTGTCACAAAGACTCAGAGACGAGTCAATCTGTCCACTCAGTCGTGTATCAGACAGACAGACAGGTTGTTTTGACTGCAGCCTCATTGTTTCCAGCTGCTGTAAAGCCCTTCTGCCTGTTTTGAGGCATTGGTCACCTTTCACCTAGTTTCTAACATAGCTCAATCTGTGCGCTCACACAACCCCAAACAGACTGACACCATATAAGAGACACGAGGCAGGTAAACAGGGAAAACACGATCTCCTAATGTGTAACAACAATACACACCCACAAAATTAAAAACATGACGCCACCAGAGGCCTACAGCCCAAAACAAGACCGTGAGTGGTGAGTGGTGTTGTGTGTCGGGAACCAGCTCCAGAGTCATGAATGCCACCAAAGCAGTTCCTTTTATTAATGCCAGCATGTTTTACTGACAGCCGTGCGTTGCAAAACAATGACGTAAAACTTGTGTCGATGTGTCCGCGTTGCTGAAAACTTGCAACAAGAACGAGTCAGGGCAGAGAGGAAGAAACGTTTGGCCTCGTTTGATAAAGAAACACACTACAATAAGATAGTGTAATATATGTTCACACTCGCGTTTCTACACAGAAAATCAACGAGGAATCAATAAAACACACCAGTGGGCAGAATAGATACTGGTATCAGTAAATTATTTAGATTATACCATTCATAGAAGTGTGTCAAGATATTCCAGGCCGGTGGATTTAGGTTAGATATTTCTAATCCGGTCACACGCAACCACCTGAGAAGATACGTGAAGTCTGCTGTTTCTGTTGCCGACTGATCCATTAATCCTCCTGTAACTGTATTTATTGATTTGTAGGCGGATGCCAATAGCTTAAAGAACTTCCTCTCGGCCGCTCGCTTGGCACACAGAGGAAGTGACACGAGCAGCCTCCCTCTCTCCACACTCACTCCTGTTCGCGCCAGAGACGTGGAGCAGCCCAAGAAGAAGCTCACCATCGTTTCCAAGAAGGACTACCCGCTCACCTCCAGCTTCCCCTACTCTCTGGAGCAGCTGCAGGTCTCCTACTGCAAACTGTCAAGGGTGGACATGCGGATGCTGTCTCTTAAAGGTAGAGCGAGTCGATGGGGTTGTTTTTTCCCCCTTTATTTTAATATCTCAGTCTCCGCTGCTTTAATTTAGAATATTTTTCAGTACTTAATAACTGGAGTTCCCCTTTAACTGCTGGTGTTTTACTTTGGCTTTGTTTTTGCAGCTCTCCGCAAACTGGACCTCAGCAACAACCACATCAAGAAACTCCCTGCCACCATTGGTGACCTCAGCTGCCTCTCTGAACTCGTCCTCCACAACAACCACCTGGAAGCCTTCAGCGTGGCCCTCTGCCTGTCCACCCTGCAGCGGACCCTCCAGGTCCTGGACCTCAGCCAGAATCGACTGCGGTCCCTCCCCGCTCAGTTCTGCCAGCTCAGAGAACTAGTGAACCTCAAACTGGACGACAATGAGCTCGTCTGTTTGCCGTTCCACATCGGCCGGCTCTCGAAGCTGAGGTTCCTGTCAGCGGCACATAACCAGCTGGCTGCGTTGCCCAGTGACTTCCGCAAGCTGAGTCTGGAGAACCTGGACCTGTTTGGAAATCCGTTCGTCCAACCGAACTCTCTGGACCACACGATGAAACTTACATTCCCCCTTCCACTTCAAGAGTTGGCTTCCAGAGCGGTGGCCAACCTCAGGTCAGTACTAAAGCTCAGTGAATCACACCGTCTGCATACGCTCTCACAGCCGACTCCTAACTGTAACTCTTTCTCACTCGCCTCACAGGATACCGTACGGACCTCACCTCATTCCTGCCCACTTGTGTCGGGACCTCGAAGTAGCCAAGACCTGCGACTGTGGCCGCGTCTGCATCAATTTCTACATCAAGACAGCGGTCAGCATGAACCTGCACCAAGTCTCTCACACGGTGGTGCTGGTGGACGACATGGGCGGCACAGACGCACCGGTGCAGCAGCACTTCTGCTCACTCTCCTGCTACTCCCAATATTTAGACAACTCCCTCCAGAGAGGAATCAGATGAGGGAGAAGAAACTGCAGTTTGACAGGAAATGCACCAGGAGCTGGAAGTTGCTGTAGATTTTGCAACAGACTGCAACTGGTGAGATATTGTAAGAGGGCATCTGATGAGACAAGGACAAGAGGAGGAGTAAAGCTCAGTGATTTAAAGTGCTTCATACTGCCCTGTTTTACACTTACATCCAACGTATTATGCACTTCTTTTTGTACCTGCTCCATCTGTAACTGAGTGGACTTTATGTAACTCAAACTGACAGTTTCACACAGACGTTTCTGCTCTTCCTGCCTCTTGAAGCAAACTGCAGGTTCCCCCACAGACCTACTTCTGCTCAGCGAGGGAATAAAGAAATTAGATGAATTAGAGTTTTCTCCTGAACACAGAGTGCCTCAGGGTCCACGAGTAAAGGGAGTTGGTTTTTACTGTGCTAATGACCCACAACTTTTATATATATATATATAAATGTGGAGAAATTCAATAAAATAGAAGTATTCATTAGGTTGTCCTATGTAGTTTATTCTAGGGCACTGAAATGATTTATGTGTCGTTTTTGTCACGTGTTAACAGAAGAGAAGCCGTGTGTTTGCTGAACGCCTTCACCTTATCCTCCCGTTCCAAGTGTGTGAAAACGGTTCAACACGGCACACTGTGGAAGAGGAGCTGCTAAAAACAGCTCATTCTAATAGATCCTCTTAAAAATGACACACCAGACCTTTAATATGATTTATTTTTTTAATACTGCAGACTTTTAACTGATCCAAGTTGCATTCAAAGGTGCTGTAATACAAACAAACGAATCCAACCCTCCCTGGACGCTTTGCCTCAGTCCAGCTCAAACATCAGGGAGTTCTGGAAGACGAACCCAGCGGATGTGGAATGATCGCTGATGACCTTTTCATTTCCATCTTTATCGATTTCCCTCAACAGCCCAGACGGTGGCCTGCTGCTGTCGTCGTGCTCTGCGGTTTGGAAGACGCTCCCCCCGTTGCCTGGACCTCCTCCGCTTGACTCCTCAGTCCTCTGGGAGATACAGCAGTCCGTCACGTTGCTCTGGTTTGGAGTGTCAGCTTTTACGGGAGACGCGGCCTCGCCGGATCTGTGACGGAGACGTTCAGCTTCTGTTTCCACCTAGAACAGGAAAATATAAGTCAACAGGAGTTTGATCACACACACACACGCTTGTGCCTCCTCTTCAACGTGATAATCAGAATTTATCTCACCTTCGGGCTTCCATTAAGAGTCTCCGTCGCCTCTCCGGTCTCCTCTTTGACGTCTGAAGTCTTCGTTTTGGTCGTCGAGTTCAGATGTACGTCTCCCTCTTCTGTTGTGCGACCTGGACGTTCAGCAGTGATTAAAACAGGCTGGTTTTCTGTTTCCGGCGAAGCCACACAGGAGTTTTCCTCTTCGTCCATACGTCGTTCAGCGGTATCGCGTCTTCTGACACCGTTTGTCTCCTCTGCTCCGTCACGTCCACCTTCCCTTATTTGGTTATGTCTGCTTCTTCCTGTGTCTTCATGTTTCTGTCGGTTTCTGTTTCCGGCTTCTTCCTCGTTTTCCTGCTTCTGCCCTGTCACTTTCTCCTCTTCCACACTTTCTTGGCCTCTTCCTACCAGCTCCTTCCGTTTCGCCTCTCCCTCCACACTAATTTCCTCACCTTTGCTATTTTCTTCTTCCCTCCCCTCCTCCTCCCCTTTGTCCCGACCTCTTTCTTCCTCTTCCTCACCTTTCTCTACTACTGTCTGCTGCTCCTCTTCAATGTCTCTTTCCTCCTCCTCTTCACTTTTCAGGTATTCCCTCTCCTCCTCCTCCTCCTCGTCATCACTAGCCTGAGCAGCAAAATCCACAGTTTCCCTGGAAGGAAGAACCGGCAGTGTGACCGTAAGCTGTCCTCTGTGTTTGTTGAACTTGGCCTCTCCTCTCTCTTCCTCCACAGGGTAGGCTAAGGGCAGCTCCAGTCTGTAGTTTGGTTTCTTGGACTCCAGCAGCAGTATTCTCTCCTTTACCTCGAGGCTGGCGTCCGTGACCGCCTTCAGAAGAGGCATGTCGACGGTGACCACTATCTCTTTGGGCCTGGGGCTTTGGGCAGAGTCTCTAGAACACCTGAAGTCCTGCAGGTCGATAAAAGATCGATATTTGACTGTGTAGTTCGGCTCGGTTGGCTCTTTCGTCGCAGGTGATTCTGTAGGCTTGGTTTGTGAGGAGGAGGAGGGTCGTTGGTCGTCTGGGTATGGGAACGAAAGAGGGTCAGGCTTCTCTGAGACCCCCTTGGCTTTATGCCCGGGTATGGCTCTCCGGATGACGCAAGGCTGCGGGGTGCCTTTGTATTTTGTGCTCATCTCTCTCACATTATTCTTATCCAGAGTCACCTTAAAAGCATCCTGGATTCCCTGAATGGCCGTGCTGTCCACCATTTCCATGAATCTGGTGTTTTTGCTTGCAATGTGCAGCGTGTCAGGGTGGAAAATAACATCATAGATCACGATCTTGTTCCCCTTTGGGTCTGTGTCTTGCCTCCCTGGGTGCAGACTGTGGGGCAGAGACCAGCGCTGTCCTCTGCGGCCTTCCTCCGACACCGCCCATGTACTGGCAGGCTTTCCAACTTTTTCATTGCTGCAGATATTGATGAAACACTTGTGCTTGCCGTTCACGCTCGTCCTGAGGGCCCTGAATGGTTCCGGGTGGATAAACTCGACGGTGTTTCCTCTCTCCTGCTCCAACAGTTTGATCTCCTCCTCGTACCTTTTCTTGTTCTCCGGGTCGGATAACTCTCGGGTGTAGTCGAGCAGCATTTCCCGGAATTTCTCGTCTTTGAAAGCGTTTGTGAGCCTGTCGATTTCATCCACTGTCATGTTCAGTTCTTTTAGTTTATCTCCGGCCTCCATGCTGATAACGGCGAGGACAATGTCGAGGCGGATGAAGTTAACGGACGCAACTTGGGTGAGATAAAAAAAAAAAAAAGCCCCCAAAATCTATAAATAATAATAGAATAAATGGAAACAACGCTACAGCCTGTCTTTGCCCGGTAAACGCAGACTTTTTGGTCTTTTAATGTCCATTACTGTGTGTTTTAGCTGGTGTCCAACAAACCGCCCGAATATACTTGTGTTGCTGTAACCATGGCAACGCGAGAGTCGCTGGTGCAACGAGGAAACACTTCCGCGAGAAACATTTTTCTTGCCGTTAATCTTTGATTTAAGTTTTATTATTAAGTACAGAGTCGAGTGACTAAATATAAAAGCAAAGCATTAAACATTTAGTTTAACCAAAAGGGAAAGAATACCCCGAAGGTTATAAAACCCCACACCTACAGAGGCGGTACTGTGTTTTAATTGATTAAATTGACTTTACCTTTTGGCACTGTGGATGTTATATTCACGTAACTCTTTAACATGATAGTGTTACAGTGAGTCAGCATGCACAATACCAAGAAACAGCGTCGTGAAATTCAACAGTTTTATTATTAATACCAGTGCCACAGGTTATCATAAGGACCATCAAAGTAAACAGGATTATAATACTTATAATAATTATTTCATTCATACTCCATATTACTCAGTATCTTCCTATTTATATACCTCCTTTATTAATACCAACCCTCACTGAAACTAGTTAAATTGGTTATAAATGAAGGATAATACAACATTATTTCTTGAGACCAAACTAGGAAGCTCCTGAATTAATTCTGGGTTGCTTTTGTCGTTTAATTAAAAAGTCATGGACAGAGGAACTATCTTAAAACTATCTTTATGTCAAAACCACTAACTCTAATTGACACTGACAACAATGTAAGGTCACATAATGGTCTTTGGATGAATACAATAAACCTTTTGATGTCTTACTATACTATAAATATACTATAAATCCAATAGCATTTACAAAATAATGACATATTAATATTTGTAGCCTTTCCTTTATGCCTTTCCATTCGTGTACTATCATTACAAAAAACTCATATTTCTTCAATCACAGGTGGCTCAGGTGTCCTATCACACTGTTACACTCCACTAACATGTTTGAATAGTGTTTCTGTTGGAGACTAGGATGTCCTCCAGTGGATTTCAATCGTTTAATGACATGAATGCACCAGCAGATGTCAGTGTAGACCACCGCTCGGGTGGCACATGGCCAGTGAGTATGTCGGTCAGTAAGGCAAAGGGGCGGGTATGCAGGGGAGAGAAGTGATTGGTCGCACCCCCAACAGTTCATATTTCTCACTGTCTGATTGGAAGCTGTGTGCTGTTACTAGGTATGGGACCACTGCTTATGAATGTGTGGGAGAGAGAGAGAGATGATGATGGAGGCAGCACAGAGACCCACACTGTGGTCCAGCAGCATCTTAATGGTTTATTTTTATTGTTCACTCAATAAAACCTCGACATGCATCCTCCAGTTGAAAATGAATTCTTTCTTACACTTCATGTTAACTTATATGACCACGGTTATGAACAGCAACTTTCATTTGTAACCACAACAAGACTAAGACTTTGCTAAATTACGCCTGACTAATAAGAGACCTTTGAATGAATATTACTCAGTGTGTTATGCAAGAATCACACAGCCCCAGAGCCTCCATGTTCCCATGTGACAGAGGTGATTGGGCTCAAATGATCAGTTAATAATCTCTGAGACAAGTTAAACAAGTCTCTGTTTTGTCTGTTTTTACTCATCAGGATCTCTGGCTCTGAGCTAATGAACAGGACACACAATGTCCCCAAATGTTCTCACCAAAAGTGCCTTTAGAACACCAAAGACAAATTTCATTCAGCCAGTAGACCAAGAGGGCGGTTTTGTGTGTGTGTGTGTTGGGGAGGGGGAGTCACAGTGTGACGCACACAGGATGTGGGCAGGCACCACTCACTGCATTTCTACATGAGACAGCCGGGAAAGATTGCTGACTACACTTTACCCAGATCCCACACTGCGTCTTTCCCGGATTAAAGATCGGAAAAGGTCATAAAAAGCAAAAAGAATGACTAATTTAATCTTTTGTTTATTACAAATATGTATTAAATAATATGAAAAGTTAGACAGGGAGATATAATCAAGTTATAATCATAGTACTGATGATTAATATTCATATTTTCATGTTAACATTTTCCCAAATATGACAAATAAAAGCATTTCATAATACAACAAACAATACATTCACATAGACATATATATATATATATATATATATCAGTATCAGTATCAATACACTTGTGTTTGTGTTGATACTGTTGATCAAAAGTATTGGAGGAGGGGTGAAGCAGGTGAAATGTATAAGACAAACTTCATACAAAGGCTTTGGCAAGAGTGCATACATATTATCATTTATATCAAAGTAAACAGAAGAATCCTTTAGAGAAAAATACATGTACAAATGAGCAGTAGAGAGGAAAAAAGGAGTCCAGTGCATGTTTTCTTTTCATTCCCATGAGTAAAATAGCAGCAGCCGTGTGTGCTTGGCTGCTCCCTGTTGTATCTTGGGAGTAGGTACGATGGCAGTGTTCATTGTCTACTTGGAGCCGGCAGGCACCAGCATGCTTAGCGTGGCAAGGCCAGGTTTTGAGGGAGGTGTTTTGCCCGCGACCATTTTGTTCAGGCTCCGAACATCAGCCTGCCAGGAGGGAATTTTCTTTGTGGTCATGTGACGTCGGGCGTGTTTGGTGAGGTGATCACTGCGCATGAATCGCCGGTCGCACACGGGACACACAAATTTTTTCTCGCCGGTGTGAGTTCGCCGGTGTCGGGAGAGCTCGTCGGAGCGGGCGAACCTCTTATCGCAGCCTTCCCAGCTGCAGCTGAAAGGCTTCTCACCTACGAGAGGGAAACACGGAGACAAACAGGAAAGTGAGGAGTCAGCAAGTGAGTCACACTGCAGTCATAAAAAAATAACTTTACACGACACCAGGCCGTGTGTGAGATATAACAATGAGCTCACTCTCTTCCCATCAAGAACAAGGCCAAGGAATGTTTAACAAACAGGATGCAGCAGTCATCTGTGGTCAGTTTGTTCCACATCCTCATGAGTATCCATTAAACACTTCTATATATATGTAAATATGTAAATATGTAAATATGTATATGACTGAACGCTCACCTGTGTGTGTTCTTAGGTGAGCCTTGAGGTGTGAGCTCTTGAAATACGTCTTCCTGCAGCCTGGGAAGTTGCAGACGTAGTTTCTCCTGCGGGAAAAGTCCATCTTTGTGGCTGTTGTACCGCCACTGGGCCCCGCGGGCACGTACACAGGGGCCGGGGCCAGAGGTAGCAGCTTTGTGTTGCCCAGCGTCATGACAGTCTGAGGACAGTGAGGGGCCTGAGAGACGGAGGACTGAGGGAGAACCAGCATCACCGTGCCCTGGGGCACCGCTGAGCCCACGATGAGGGACTGCTGGACAGGGCCGGAGTTAGCTGAGGAGGGGTGGGGGAGGATGGATGTGGTGGCGGTCCGAATCCCAGCATTTGATGTCTGAACAGTGCCTGGTATGAAGGCTGAGATTATACCTGATTGGCTGCTGACAGGGAACATCTGGCAGATGATTTGAGAGCTGGTGACTGAATGTGGGGACAGGGTTGCGGGAGCAGTGGGTGGGCTGCTCTGCAGTTGGGTACTGACATGAGTGGATGTGGAGAAACTGTCAAAACAGGGTTTTGAGGGACTGGCTTGCTGCTCTGTTATTGTGGCGAACAATGTGGGTGTAAGAGCAGTCGGAGGAGATGGAGGTGTGCTTATCTGCTCAGTCTTTGTAACGCGTTGCTGCTGTTGCCGCTGCTGCTGGTAGACCACTGCAGCCGTTACTGTGTCTCTAGTTTTCTCTGGATTGGGGGCCACTGGAATGTGGTGTTGGCAGGGGCTGCTGTCTGCGGTGTGGCGGATGACGCTGGTCGCCATGGCTCTGCAGGGCTGTGGCAGACGGGAGAAGGAGGAGGAAGGGGGGGTCTTTTCAGCGACGGGTGCCAGGACAGGTTGATGAAGCCCGGATCCACAGTGTTGTGAAGACGCAGCCAGGACAGAGCCAGACTGGAGCGTTGAGGTCTCGACAAAGCTGGGGCTGTGAGGAGGAGTCATACACTGGAAGGAGAGGGGAGAGGAGTCAACCAGTGGACCCACACACCACTGCAACAGCACAGTATTTGTCTCTAGTTTTAGAGCGGATAGTGTTTGCATAAGTATTACAGGTGCTAAGCAGCTACTCACAGAAATAATGATCACTTTGAGCCATAAACTGAGATTTTTATGACCCTGTTTCTGAGAGGAGGGAGTGTCTGAAGGTCAAACCACCTTACTGTATCAAGGCTTTCCTTGCCTTTCCCCAGTCTGAAGTCATAAACCATGGTTCAACTTATCTTACTCACATCAAAAGGCAACAGGGTTTAATGTAAACCTTGACTCTCAGGAATATGTTTACTAATCAAACATCAGTAATCTCAGTGGTTTCACAGCTCTGTGTGATTTCATTCCCGTTGCAGTAGCTGATGTACATATTATTCAACGGTTTGACCCCCATGATAAGTCACTTACCAGAGAAGAGAGGGACACAAAGTCCTTCGGGGGCTCTGGAAGTTCTGGCGGCAAGAGGGAGTCACAGGAGTCCGAGGCCGGGGTGAGGGGTCTGGGCTTGCAGGGGTTCGGCCTGTTGCTCCCGAGGAAGTGGCTCTGGCCCCAAGAACTCATGCAGACCAGGGCTTCAGCTGCCTCCAGGTCCGTGTACTCCAGGCCAGACGTCCCACTACAGACAGACTGCTCACTATCGTGTCTCCGTCTCTTTGCGTAGGACCTACAATGATCCATGTACTCAGTCTGAAGAAAACAAAATAAAAGTATTTCATTATTGCCACATCATTGGGTTATTTCCAACTGTGATGATTCAGTTAGGACTCAGATCTGATTACGGCACAAATGCAAACAAAATTGAGGCTTTTTATTTTATTAACCAGAATGGTGGAGAGTGGAGGGGGGGGAAGGAAAAACCCAGTTATGATCTGCTCTGTCACTGTTCCTCAATCTGAAGTTCCCGGCCAAACTACACAATGCTGCCAAAAAGTGAGAGGGGGTGTTGGTGACTACACCCCAGCATGCACTGCCTCTGGCTCACAACCAGGACACCTCCCATTGCCAAATATAGACCCAACTGTGACGTGCTGCCGAGATGAGCCATGTGAAATCCCCATAAAGCGGGTTTGCATCAGGAAGTGGGCTCATTACGTTACAACTTTATAAAACATTTTAAGAGTAAACAAACCATATTGCTGCTCCTCTGCGGAAACACAGACGGATTGAACAATTTGTCGACACTGACAGGTTCTCCAGACATGTTTTAAGTTTTATTTTTATTCCAGATTAGCACAGATACACAGGGAATCACCTTTTTAAAGGCCGATTAACAAACGCAATTGCGATAATAATTAAACGAATGTTAATATAATATAAATAATATATTTTAATATAGCTGATTTGACATCACTTGGACGCTGACGTGACACAAAATAACAAAAATAAATGTTCAATTCAGCTGTTGACTTGAGCAACGTTACTTTGAAAAAAAATAAAAAACCTCAGTAAACAAGTAAACAAGTGATTGTTATTGGACAGCAAACATAAATGTCGCTCCTAAACTGAAGTAGCGAACAGTTTTTAAAAAATTAAATATGTGTCTTACCCCGTTGGAGTCCATCTCTCGAAACTGTCGCGATGGCATTGAGGAATAAAATATCTAAATATCACTTTTTGTTGTCAAAGGCAGTGCAGAACAAAGAGACGGCGGTTGCCAGTGCTGCTGCCTGAGCCGGGGTAGGGTTGAGGTCGGTTTTTTTTCTCTGACTGGATCCCTCTACTCTCAGCTGTGTGTGTAAAACATGGGGAGGAGGGAGGAGAAAAAAAAAAGAAAAACAAAACTCACAACACGCAGCGGCGGGTGGCAACACTCGACCAATCACAATTGAGTGTGTGCTGAGAATCAGCCAATGGGAGAGCAGGGAGCGCGTGAACAGTGCGTGCTCGCCGGACGGTTGGAGGAAATAGGGTGCGTGGCCGTTGGTGGGCGTGGCCTCGAGAGTCAGCAGTGTCAGAGTAAACCCGATGAACCGACGTCCGTTAAACTAGGCGAAAGGTCGATCCGGTCTATGCGGCGTTCACGGGGTGTGGGGAAATAACCTGCCAAAAAGAGAATTACTTTTTAAAAAACGTATCTTTTCGCCATTCATCATTGTAAGTCAGCGCAATGATGTATTTTGATAAAGGGGAGAAACTGTAGTGAAAGTGAAAGGACTACATGGCAGCTGAGTGACAAAGAATCTAACCCAAATCTATTTTTCTATAAAAAGTAAAATCACAGAAACTGTATTGTTTATTTACATTTTTAGGGTTCAAATGTATATGTATAATTTTTTTTTAATGCATAGATATACGAAACTACAGTACAGTATTTGCTTTATTCTGTCAGAGCACTTTATGGCTCCTCAAGTGTGCATTACAAAATATTGTGTCTTGTAAGTTGTTTGTCTTGTTCTTAATGAGCCAAAATGTTCAGATTTTTTGCGACAGGACAGAACATGCACATTTTCTATAGGTAGAAAATTTATAGTGTCATTTTGAAATAAAAGAAAGAATCTAACCATTTATGGCCAAAGGTTCTGCACCAATGTCTAGTGGAAGTCAAAATGCAAAGGGCTGATTTTAGGTAGATCTAAATAAATTAATTCAACCTGCTTTTAAAGGAGTTGGTTGAGTTTACACTTAAGTAGACTGGTTTAATACACATTACAAACGCTTAATTATGTTTTAGGCTATTATAAACTGACATATTCTCCTTGACTTGACTGAATATATCTCCTTGTTGCTCTCTCCAAAGAAACGTTGATTTGTCAAGCTTTATTGCTCTAAGACCTGGAGGAATGTCATGTGTACCTTTTTTCCCACAATAATTGAATGCAACACCAGTACCAGATGAAGCGCGGGTTTCTGTCTTGGTTTTTTGGCGTTGTTTGTGTAGCTTTCTCACAAGAAAATGCAGAAAAACAAGCACTTAACTGTTATCACATGTATATTTCATAATGCAAACACAAAGCCACTAAGTTAGTTTCACAGTAAATCAGGTCACAGATGAGAGACCACCTATTAAAGTCTATAAATAGTACATAAATACATAATAAAGTCTATATTATTTAATCTTATAAATTAGGCAATAATGTAACCGGTGTACCTTGTGATCTTGACACTTGTTTTGTCTGTTGGTGTAGCCAACCTCAGTGCCCCATTCATATCCACATGGACTATAATAGATTTTAAATTTTTATTAGTATTGTTACATTTGCTGAAAGCCTCCAAGTATACATATGCACTAATAACCTATTGTCCTGGGTACAGGGAGACTGATGTGGTGTTTTGTTCTCCTGATACTATTATATTCTTTAAACTTACAGTAAATGTAAATGAATGTATGCTTGGCTGTTTTTTTTCTACTGTGGCCTATTGTCTGACCGTTTCTATGAGATCATTACCACAAGTTACATGTCAGATTGATCTTGACCTACATATGCTGTTACATCACCAACTGCTTTTAGACAAAGAAAAAAAACGAGCCAATGAATTTATGCAAGCCATAATATGAAAAAGACTCCTATTTAATACTTTCTTAAATATTAACAGGAACAAAGTACTGTAAAAAATATTGTGAAAACAGTAGTAATCCCATTGTCAGTCTAGACACATGACATTTCATATTCTGTTTACTCTTCCTCCATACATAAACAAACCTCACACCAAGTTGGTGAATTGTGTTTGTCTGCAGCCTTCCTGCAGCAGAAGGGAGTGTAGCAGGTGTGTCGGCCCTGGCAGCGCCTGGCTGCTATCGAAGGCTGAGCCCCAGTATGACTCACGTAAGCATGACCTCAGGGAGCAATGAGGGCACAGAGCTGTGGCCGTGAAGCTCCAGTGCCAGCAGTCAGCAATAAGAGAGGGGAAGAGGGAGGAGTTACATGAAAAACGAGTTGAACGCAGGCATGACAGGCAGCTCGGGCCTAAGTACAGCAGCCTGTTTGTGATATAAGTGGGGCAGGCCGGTTCAACTTAGTTAGGGAATCTGGAGGAAAGGTTACGCTGGCCCTATCTGGGCCTCCACATGCACACCTCCCTTGTCCGGACAACTCCCCCAACTCAGGAACTATAGGAGCAGACTCGGAAAAGGGGGAGTTGCCCTGGCAGGGTTAAATATACCCCCCAGGGACTATATTTCACTAACAACCCCTGGGCCCTGACAGACAGCCATAAGTTGTGTCATGTAGACATGTATGTTACTTCCACAGGAAGTATATCAAAATGTAAAATGTTTTATATAAAATAACACATGGTGTACCATACAGTCATGTTGTTTTGTATGCATAATCATTTCAAAATATTCTTTGGATTACTGAGTGGAGTAACACAAGGTTCAACTCAAACACTGAAGAAAAGACATAACAGGAAATGTTATTAACATTTAAAAGCTAGAAGTTGCAGAAATTGTACTCATTCTCTCACAGCCTCACTATTACAGGCTTTTGATTATTCAGCAAGTCCTTATGGTTGATGAATAACCCAAAATAATCTTACCTTCACTGGAAGGATTTCACTGACAGTTTCATTACCTTACTCAGATGTATTACTTCACACACTTGTTAGGAGAGCAAACAGGAGGGGAACCAATGAAAACAGTGCAACAGCAAGAGGAATACCTCAGTGTTGTGAAATCCCTCCACTGCACTAATGTCAACAGGTTTCTTTTTTTGTTTTGACTGAATGGAGAGCCAGAATGGATTTGGAAAATTAGTATTGAAGATAATGTACTGAACTCCTTCTTTTTATACTTTACTAAATGATTTGGTTTTAAATGCAGAAGCTAATGCTAATAATGTTATACAGATATCCAGAATGTCTTTTGAGCTCAGTTGAATTTATAGAAAACACTGTCAGTCAGTTGCTCCTCCCCACCATCACTGCAAACTGGCATCTGGGTGAAAGGACACAGCGAGTAAAGATACTCCTGGCTGTGTGGAAAACATCTTAAGAATTGATCATTCTTTCCTACCTTCCTCCCTCCCTTCTTTCTTTTCTTACGCTTATCTTTTTTGTTGCCTTTTTATACCTTTTTTATTTCAGACAAATCCAAATACTGGACATGGATGAAAACACATTTAGGAAAGCTTTTATCCGACCCTGTTTTGTAAAATGCAATGGAGAAACGCTTAACAGAAAACAAAAAGACAATACTATCAAAGATCTCTGATATTTAGGGAGACCACGTTACGTCCTCAATGTATTATTTATGCATAGAAAATTGAGTCAAAGAGTCATGGTTATGGCATATTCTTTGTGTTGGTGACGCAAATCTACAGGACTAAAGTGCATGTTAGAGCATTTAAAATGGACTTAAAATGGAAATTCTGTCCTTAATTTCTTACCTCCACATTTAAACCCTTTTCAGCCTGTACTTCAACTCCCGAATGTTAACACATTCGTCTTTATACAGCTCCAAAAGACGCAAAATGACCATCAAATGTATCACAAATCCATCTTTACCACTTATCTCCTACATTTTATAGCACTGTCACATATGCACACAAAAGAAAATAGCACTTATAGGACAAATAAGAGAGCTAAAGATGTAAATATTTTACTTTTAGACCCACAATAACCCACAATTTAATTGTATGACTACAATATATAAAGTATAATGCTGCAGCAGTGGAGAGTTTGGTGGCCTGGTGGCTTTAAACAATCAGGTTTAGACTTTCATCAAGGGTTAATACATCATATTGTTATTTTAATGTTGCAGTGAGTGATCTCTTTAATACCAAAGTTGGCCGCTTTATAGAGAACATATAGAGATTCTTAAACGTGGATGAGGTTTGGTCTCAGTATACAGTTCATAAAAATAAAAGGAAGTGAAATCTGCTTATTAATGTCTGAATTGTTCTATGACTTGTGATGGAGCCCAGTGGGACAAAAGCATAACCACTTTGTCCTCCAGAGGTGTGAGAAAATCTTCTCCTGTTCCCGATAAAATGATTAGCCTATTTTTTAAGTACATTATGTGTGAAATTGAATCATTTATTGCACAGATTTGTCCTCAATTAAATACCAAATGGGTCTGAAAAATATGTGAGTAGGTTATAGATAGTAAATAATGCCTGACAACAAACCACAGATTACCAGTTATATGAATCATCTCTTACAGTCAACTCTGCACCAAAGCTTTGTGTACCACACGTGGCCCCACCCCCTCTCCTCCTACACATTAAAATGGAAACACAACAGGAATTCCTCTAAGAGCAACTGGCTCCTGATTGGTCGAAACGGGATTCTAAAGCCAATCTGTTGCTATGAGACACTGACTTGTGTGCTGCCAGCTCGCTGTCTGTTGTCCTGGCAACACGAGGAACAGGAGGCAGGTTTGAGGGCTCCCTGGAGGAGCTCCCCTGGAGACAGTCTGAGCATGTGTGGTGCCTAATGATGACGGCTGGAAATATGACATTTTATTAAATAATACACTCTGAATGATTTTCTGTCTGGTCTGGCTGCAGGGAAAATGTTATTCTTCTGAAAGGGTCTGCCACAGTTCTATGTGAGAGAAGTACATGCGGTTGTGTTCAGTGTTTTTGTTTATGTTAATGCATATAGATATAATTCAGGAAACTATAGTCTACACAGATTGAGACAAAATACGTATTGACCTTCTTTCAGAGTTTTAAACCACTTATATTGTTAAATAACAGCGATCTGTGTCTGTTGCTGCTCGGGACTTGGGGAAGATGAGTCTTGATCATGTTGTTGTCTTGGCCACTAGACGGGGCATCAAACACTTGAGTTCAGTGTTTTTAAAGGAATTAGTGGCATCTAGTGGTGGAGTTGCAGATTGCAACTAAATGAACACAGTTGGTGTCTGTATTTGTCAACATGGGAATGAGAACAGGCTGTGAAGTGTGTAGGAGAAACTACGGTCAACAACAGCAAGTGTTTGGTTTGTTAATTCTGGGCTACAGTAGAAACATGGCTGTTCAACATAGCGAACTACATGGAAGGAGACCGCTACGTTAATGAAAACCATGATTCCTATATTCAGGTGATTATACACTAATGAAAACATATATTATA